GACTACGTACGTTTACCTTCTCTCTCTCTCTCTCTCTCTCTCCCTCTCTTCGCTCCAGGGGATTGATGGACAAGGACGACATGAAAAACCTCGGCTTCCAGGAAACCGATCAGGCCGTGCCCGCCTCTTCCTCTTCCTCTTCGCAGCAGCAGTCACCCACCCCCGCAGCGACGGCAGGGAAAGGATCCGGGGCAAAGGCTGTATGACGACGTTCGAACGAGAGACAGAGCAGACCATGTAACACCACCACCGCTTCTCACACTCGCCGAATCGATTAAAGAACCCAATCTATGACGTGTCAATGGAGAAGCGGGGGCAAACGAAGTGGTTCTCTAGCGAATACAGACCTCGATCCCATGACGATCGATCGTTCCTCGGGCGGCAGTACAGCAAGGAGCAAGCGGGGCAAGCGGCTCTGATCGGGTCGGGTCTCGCGGGGATGCAGCTGCTGGCTGCTGGCTGCGGCTGCTGCGGCTGTGGCTGCTCAGGCTACGGCTGCTAAGGCTGCGGCTACGGCTGCTTGCTCGCTACTTGTACGTCTCGAGGAACTCGGTGTGGAACTTGCCGTAGCGCTCGATGAAGCTGTCCGTCTCCTTTGCCAGCACCGTGGTGCGGAAAAAGCAGGCGCCCGTGTCCCTCTCGGGCATCTTGCCAAACCCGCTGCCGGGCACGACGCAGATGCCCGTCTTGTCGAGCATCTCGAGGCAGTAGAACTCGTCGACCTTTTTGCCGCGCTTCCTCGCCTCGTCGTGGGCGCGCGGCGGCAGCGTCACGCGCGGGAAGAGGTAGAGGGCGCCCTGGGCCGGCTGCACCTCGACGCCCGGCAGCGCATCAAACTTGGCCGCCATCTTTTCCGAGCGCTCCAGCAGCGTCGCGTGGATCGCCTCGGTCTCGCGCCGGTAGACGTCGTACGACGGCTCGCCCTCGCGCGGCGGCTTGACCAGCATGTCGACGCCAATCTGGCCCTGCAGCGACGGGCAAAGCGAGATGCTGGCCATCTTGTACACCTCGGCCTCGACGGCGGCGTCGATGTTGACCAGCTCAAAGTAGCCGCCGCGCCGGCCGCACTCGCCCGACACGCCCTTGGAGATCGAGTGGAACGACACCAGCTCGACCTCGTCGGCGATGCGGCGCTCGGCGGCGTCGCTCGACTTGCTGAAATCGCGCACCACCTTCTTGAACGACACAAACGGCCGCGTCTCGGGCTGGTAGATGTTGGCCTGGTACACCTCGTCGGCCAGCAGCACGATGCGCTTGTCGTGCGCCATGCGCACCAGGTCGCGGATGTTTTGCTCGAGCAGGCACTGGCCCGTCGGGTTGCCCGGGTTGATGATGACCAGGGCGCGGACGTCGGTGCCGCGGGCGCGCGCCTCGTCGATGCTCCTCGCCATGGCCTCGACATCCAGGCTCCAGTCGTCGAAGGGGTTGAGGTCGTACTCGACCGGCGTGGCGTCGTACAGCGCCAGCGTGGCCGAGTAGAGCGGGTACTGCGGGATGGGGATCATGATGCCCGTATCGCGCGACGCAATGAGCACCTGCATCAGCAGCTGGACGCCGCCCGACGCGCCCGAGGTGAGGTAGATGAGCTCCGGGTCGGCCGGGTAGCCGTCGCGCTCCTCGATGAACTCGGCAATGTGCTTGCGCACCACCGAGGCGCCCTTGGAGTGCGAGTAGGCGCCGACGCTGCCCACGTCCTCGAGGAGCAGCCGGGCGCGCTCCTGGACGTCGGCGGGGAAGACCTTGTCCATGCCCGGCGTGTCCATGAGCTCCGGCAGCTCGGTCAGCGCAGCCACCTGCCGCCAAAAGGTGAGCGGCTTCTGCGCCAGGAAGGGCTGTTGCTGCGGGTTGCCAATGTTGGCGGTGACGACCGAGTCAAAGGGGAGGCCCTCCTGCTTGGCCTTGCCGTCGGCGATGAGCTGGGCGTACTTGTTGGCGCGGTTGCTCAGCTCGCCGCGCACGGCGTACTCGGTCTTGAGCACGTTGGGGTTGATGGTCTTTGTCGTCAGCACGGGCTTGTAGGACGACGACGACGACGACGACGGGGAAGACGACGAGGCGAAGCCGCGCGAGCTGCCGACCGAGGCCGTGGTGGCGTACGACGACGAGTAGGCGTTTGCGTCGACGGCCATGTTGGTGGGCGACGACGAGCGGCGGCTGCCCAGGGACGACGACGAGGAAGAGGGAGACGAGGCGCGGGGTCTTGGCGTCGATGTCGATGCGGACATGGTCGAGGCTGCAGCGGCGGTCGCGAAGGTGGCCGAGTGGCGGAGGGCGGTGGTGACGGCGTGCGAGGACGAGGACGAGGTCAGGGACGAGGTAGCGGTGGCGGTGGTGGCGCTGGCGGCGAGGCGGACGCTGGAGTGGAAGATGGACATGGTGGACGAGAGGGCAGGCTCGGCTGGCCGAGGGGTGCACGAGAGGGCTTTTGAGATTGAAGGACCCGGGACGGGGACGGGGGCGGGGGGGAGGATGAGCGGCTAGTAGGCTGGCGCGCGAGTCAGAGGGCGGAGGGCGGCGGGTGAGTGAGGGCGAAGGTGAGGGCGAGGGCGAAGGCTGCAGACGTCGTCGATGGCGGAGGTGGATGGACGGATGGGACATGGGTGTGGGGTCCAGGTGGAGCGCAGCGAGAGGAGGCGGCGAGGGCAGGGGAGGGGGGACGGGGTGGATGTTAGCGCGGCGGGCACAAGGCAGGCGAGGATGTCATTCGCGGCGAACAGCTCGGCCTCTTGCGTTGCCGGGCAGGCAAGAAGAGGGGCAGGCAGCCAGCAAGGACCAGGCAGGGTCACGGGCAAGGGTCAAGGGCTTCGGCCTGGGTGTCGCGCACGGCACAGCAGACGACGACGACGACGACGATGACGACCCGGCTGGGATCCCGAGATGCTCCGCCGAGTTAGGGTACAGTAGATGCTGCGGCTTGCTGGGTAGCGGACCAAGGTGGACCGGCTCGCACCGGCTGGACGCCCGCCCGCCCGCTCGCCTGCCTGCCTGCCTGCCTCCTTTTGCGCATGGCTTCTCTCTTTGGATCTGGTCAGCGCTGGTACTCACGCGGCTCTCTTTCTCTCTCTTCTGTCTCTTTGTTCTGCTGCGTGGCAGGCGCTCTCCTCTGTCGATTTGGTGGTGAAAGGGGGAAAAGAGGGGGCGACAGAAGACCGGTGGGCGCAGGACCTCGAGCGATCGCCTAGCTTGGCTGGCTGGCTGGCTTGGCCCTTTTTTTTCCAGTTCTTCCCCCGCCCTGCGCCAGCCTGCTGGCAAGATCTGACCTGAGCCGACCCCGACCCGCCTCTGCCTGCCAGGCCTAGCCTGCCTCTCCGGACCGCGCTTCGAGTCATGGGTCAACCTGCCTGGCCTGGCACAGCCTGGCCTGGCCGCCCGTCAAATCCTGACCCGCGCGGCAGCCAAGCAAGCGTACGTCGGGCTCAACCCTTTTCCCACCGGCCTGGCCTGGCCTGTCTGGCTGCCCCTTGCCGTGCGGACCGGTCGACCGACCGACCGACGTCTTTGTTCTTGCCCGCAAAACCGCCTACGGATGCGGGGCGGAGACGACGGCCAGCAGGCTAGGCTGGGGCCAGCTGGCAGGCAGGGTCTCGCACCTTGCCCTGCCCCGCCCCGCGACCAGGCAGGCCCGCCTCTCTTCGTGACCTTTCCGGGTGCAGCCCCTCGTCCCCAGTCCCATCCATCGCTTCGAGCACAAGCACGAGCAGGCCAGACCTCGAAGCTCCTTGCAAGCTTGCTTGACATCTCGCACATCTCTCGGCCTCGGACATGACGGTCCGACCCGTCCAGTCGATCCCATCGACCGAATGCACGTTCGGCCTTGCTGCTTCCCGAACCCCCGCTCCTCGCCTCTCCGCTTCCCCCCGAGGCAGGCAGACCGACATGGCGCGGCACGGCACGGCACGGCATGGCATGGCTTGGCTTAGGCGGGCTCGGTCTCGCCATCTACTACTGATTGTGTGGCGTAACCACTTTGGCTTTGAACGGGCGGGTGGAGGGGGGCAATGATGGGGTTGGATTGGGTTGGTATACTACACCTACTCTGCTAAGGAAAAGCGGCTGCGGTTTCGTCGTCGACTGGCCTGACTGGACTAGCTACGTGGATTGAGATGGCATGCTTGACACGTACACTTGCGGGATCAGGGGGAACATGCGTGAGAGGGGGATGCTTGAGAAGGTACAAGAGGGGGACAGAGACTACTACTGAGGACGCCGAGGCGCTTCGAGGGCGGGCAGGGATCCTGATGCGATGGTGCTAAGTCGATCTGAAGAGGGCAGCCGTCTCTGGGTGGCCTATCTGCGCCTCATGCGCTGCGCCAGCCCTCGGCCGTGGACGGGCGCACCAACGCCACCGCTTCCGCCGTTGGCCATGCCGCCCCGAGCTTCCTGGAACGCGGCCATCAGCCCGGGACCGCGCCGGTCGGCGGTAGTAGCGGCGGTCGCGGTGGCGGCGGTGTGGTCGGCGGCGGAGGCGTGGGCCCGACCATCGCCGTACGAGCTTGTCGCACCTTGCGCCTCGTAACGCTGATGCCCGTGAGGATGAGCCTCGAACCGGGGCCGCTTGCTCGCCCGTTCAGCCCCACCCGTCAAATCCGCATCCATGAGGACCGCTTCGTGCTGGCCAGCGGCTGTCGATGCGCCGACGGCGACGTTGTCGGCGTAGTGCTCGTCGACCTCGCCCTCGCCATCCTCTTCGCTCCACCCGGCCTCCTCGAGCCTGGCAAGCAATGCGCTTCGATCGTCGGCCGACGCGCTCTTCGACGTCGAGCCTTCCCCGGTCGGGTGCTGCGAACGTGGCCCAGTGTTCCATGTCGATGCCGGCGGAAGCAGTCCGGCGTGGGCCCCGTGCCCGTGCGGACGCTCCTGCGCGTGCCGGGTCACCTCCGCCTCGCGCTCTCGCTCGATGCTGCTCCCAGTCATTGCCTGCAGCCTCGCGCTCGCCTCGCTCGGCCAGCCTGGCGGCCCTTGTGCCTTCCGCTTGGCAGACTCCCTTGCCGCGATCTCGGCGGCAAACAGTCCTCCCCGAGGCTTTGACGGTCCCGCCTGGGTCGAGGCCGAGGGCGCGGGCCTGCTCGACGACGACGACGATGCCGCGGGGAAGAGTAGCTTTGGCTGCAGCCGAGGAGGCCGCTGCCCTGTCCGCTGGTAGGCCTCATCCGAGTCGTCAGAGTCATACTCTGGATCCGCGTAGACGACGCGCTGGCCGCGAAAGACGTAGGTGATCTTGCCCCTTTCCTTGCCCGGGAACGCCTGGGCTCTGGCGCGTGCCTGGCCGGCTCGGGGTCCCTCGAGACCCGAGTCTGCGGGCCCGCCCTCGAGGAACGGGTTCATCGGCGTGTCCCGGATGGGCCGCAGCGCCGAGACGTCCTGGCTGTCTACCCGCACGTGGTCGCCTGTCGGCAGCGCCAGCCTCGCCCTGGTGGCCGGTCGCGGCGTGGTCTCGCCGTCGTCCGACTCGTTCTCGCCTGCGCCCCTCATCTCCTCGTCATCCGAGACGAAATCGGGCTCGACGTATGATGAGCGAGTCTGGGCGAGCTGGTGACGCGAAGACGATGACGATGACGACGAGGGTCGGGGGCGCGCCATGAAGGGGTTTTCTTCGTCGTCCGACTCTGCCGATGCCACGGGCCCTCTTTGCCTCTTCCTGCTGCGAACCTGTGCGGACTCGAGGCTGGCGTCAGCGCCGTGGTCGCCGCGTGCCGTTGGTCGGTAAGAGGTGCTGGCGACGTGCACATCGAGCTCGCCATCCGAGAGCGACCTCGAGCCCGGCGTCGAGCCGGTCCTTCCACCGTCCATGCGCGTGTCGCGGCTGAGCGGAGGAGTCAGCATCCTGTCCTCGGCCTTGCTCATGGAGCTGCCGCGCTTCTTTCCAGGACTGCCGATGGCGACGGCGGCGGCGGACCGATCTCCGGCACCGTTGGCGAACTCGGGCGCATAGCCGAGGTGGTGCACTCCGGCAGACATGCCCCGGTGCAGCGAGCTCTCCTTGCGCTGGCAGACGGCGTTGAGGGCGCCGTGGGCCGCGATGACGCCCGCCGCCGCGATGCGGGGCTCCTGCGACTTGTGAGCGCGCCCGCTCAGAGGCGGGGAGAGCATGTCCTGCTCGGTGGCCATGATCAAGAGGGGGGGAGTTGTCGAGGGGTCGATTCGTCCCTGCTACAATGGTACCGGCAGCGTTGAAGAAGCGTCGGCGGAGCAGTTTCCAGAGGTCAAGCTGGCAGAGGCCTTGGAGAGAGCAGCCCCGACTGGTGGATATGCTGCTGCCGGTCGTGCGTGCCACGGGAGGCTGCGAAGCCGCCGAGGCCGTCGACGATGGGCCGTGAGGTCCTTGGCTGGCGGGCTGCTGGAAGGGTCGATCCAGATAGTTGAATGTTTGCCGTGTAGGTTGATGAGAAAAGCGGATGGCTGGATGTCGATTCGATGATGAAGAGGAGTGGTAGAAGGGGTCGTACCGTCGCAGCGCCGAGGTTGATTCAATGGATGCTGAGCGGGGTATTTTGCGATGCGGACCTGGTAGAGTTGATGTCCAGAGGCGACACGACGGCAAGAAGAGTCGACGGCAAGACGTAAATCGAGGCCGCCGGATGCGCTGACCGGATGTCGGTCAAGTGCGTTAGCTCGGTAGGCGAGGTGGATGGCTAGCTGGAGCGGACGGATGGGTGTGGCGGGCGGAACGGCGGCAGGTGCCAAGTGTCGACGAGGCGGAAGTCGATGGTGACCGGGCGGCGAATGGCGGATAGCGGATGGGCAGCTGGTTGCGATGCGGATGCGGAGTATGGATGGCTGGTGGTGTGGGCTGGGGATAGGGGTCCCGAGGCGCCGTCGAGATGCGGGATAGGAGCGAGCAAGAGCAGACGGGCGGGCGGGCTGCGGCGCTGCGGCAGGTCGAGAGGGGGGCAACCAATCGGTAACAGTGAGTAGACGGATGAGATGGAGGTGGGTGGGTGGCACAACGCAGCCGGTCCCGGTGATCTATCGGGAGGCCAGAGGGAGGTTATTGAGAGGATGGACGAGGGTAGGGACAGGCCCATCGCCCCCTCTCGCCTCGTCACTTGGGCCCGCCTCCAGGCCGTCGCGCCACTCTACGCGGTCAAGCAAGCCCAAAGTCGAGCGATTTTCCACCTTCCCGCTCGTCCGGCTGGGCTGGCCGGCCAGGCCTGCCTTTTTGAGATCACCTCTTTGCTTGAACGCGTCGACTGCCGCTCGCATAAATGAGGTCTGGCAGACCTGCCTGGCCTGGCGGGTCAGCTTGCTTCACGCTCCTTCTCGGCCGCAAGACGGCGCCGCCCGGCAGCAAAGGTGGAGGCCGGCACAAGAAGAAGCTCGAGGAACCCGAGGGGGCGAGGTTCGTTTGGCCCGACCACGTCTGGCCATACCCAACAACAACACTTCCGTCCATCCTCTCATCTCCTCTCTGTCCCCCTTCGTCGAGCAAACGGCCCTTGAGCCACCCGCTACGGTCAGCCACCGGACCATGTCGTCCTTTGCAGCCCTCAAGCAGCAGCGCGAGGCGAGGAGGGCGCCTCGCTTCGCCCCTACGGCCCCAACGGCAGCGCATCCCTCAGCTGGCTCAGGGGACATCTGCGGCGCTGAGCCTACCGTGACAACGACGAAGACGACGACGACGGCGCCCACTTTATCTGAACCACGAACATCAAAATCCGAACCAGCCCCTGAGCTTCCCGATACCGGTGCAGAGGCCGGTCCGAGTGCAGCGGCGGCCGGACCCAGCAGCTGGCGCCTGGCCGAGAACGATTCCCTGGTGGTCAGGACGGTCGAAGGAAAGGGCAGGGGCGTCTTTTGGCAGCCAACTTCGTCGCAGCCAGCGACTTGTCGACCTGGTGAGTATCCTGGCTGTCACGTCCATCCATGCGGCCCCTCAGCTGCTCGGCGAGCTGACTCGCGGTGCTTCGTCCTGGTTCCCCCGTGACCGTCCAGGCGACATCCTCCTTCGCCTCCGCCCGACGACCTCGGCGCTCGCCACTGATGAGCTCGCTAAGCGATGCTCCCATTGCCATCGCGCCGCCGCCGCCGCCGTCGACCCGAGTTACCCTGCTCACGCCCAGCAAGCATCGACCTCGTCGGCTACCTCGCTGATGCGGTGTTCGGCCTGCAAGGTGGTCAAGTACTGCAACATCGACTGCCAACGGGGAGATTGGCAACAGCATCGAGAAGAGTGCAAGGCGCTGAGATCCTACGCCAAGCTGCGGGCCGAAGCACGCTCGGCCAGGAAGCAGCAGGCTAGGGAAGCTAGGCAGCAGCGACGGGCAAAGAGAGCGGCGACAGCTGGAGGCGACGGCGACGGTGACGACGGCGAGGACGGCGAGGACGACGGCGAGGACGGCGAGGACGACGACGAGATGGCGGTCGACAGCTCGAGCGACGAGCAGCCAGAGGGTGGCTCGGACACGGCTCCCGGTCCCGCAATCCGCGCCATGGCTCGTCTCGCCTGGGCGCGAAAGAAGGCCGGCAACAGCACCGTCCGAGAGCAGATCGACCGGCTTCAGTCCCACAAAGCCGGCATGGATCAGGGCAAGCTCCAGGACCTCGCTGCGGTGTCGGTCAGCCTCGCACACTTCCTGGGTGCCAGCCAGGCTGTCAGCCTGGAGGAGCTGCCGAGCAAGCAGCGACAGGTGTTGCAGGATCTCGGCATGGGCTCGGCCTCGTCGCTGATGGATGCGGTCTGCAAGGTGAGTCGAAGTATGACGATGTCGCCGCCTGGCTGTCTGGTTGGCTGGCGGGCCCGCCTTGCTGATGCCCTGACTCGAGCCCTGCGTTTTATGCCGCAGTTCGCTACCAACTCGTTCGCGCTGACCGACTCGGAGCTCAACAGCATCGGCGTCTGCCTCGATCTCACTGCCGCGCTCCTCAACCACTCCTGCTGCCCCAATGCCGCGCTCGTCTTTCCCTCGAACGGCGCTACGCATGACGGCCCAAAGGGTCCGGATGCAAACGGGCCGATGCATCTGGTGGCCCTTCGCGATATCCAGCCGGGCGATGAGGTGCACATCTCGTACATCGACGTCTCTGATCGGTTCGTCGACCGACAGCAGGCGCTCCAAGAGCGCTACCTCTTCCAGTGTCGCTGCCCATTGTGTCGGCGGACGCTCAAGCAACAGCAGTCGCTCGCTGTCGGAAGCGTGGGTGGGGCCGGAGGCGACGGCTCAGCGGTCAAGATGTCGTCCAAGTGGCGAGACCCGCGAGAGGCGGTCTGGTGCCCGCAAAAGTGCGGAGGCTGGATCAGTCGACCGAGCACGGACGCCCGAGATGCCTCGACGCCGCTGGTTTGCAACAAGTGCCGGAAGGCGGCCCGGCTGGACCCATCGGTGCTGGCCGAGGAAGTCCGTCAAGCGGCAGAGGCGACGCGCGAGGCCCGGAGCTTGCTGGCAGAGGGCGATGCGGCAGCAGCGTGGCAAGCGTGCTCGCAGCTCCTTCCGGCGCTGGTCGACCAATATCCGCCCTCGTCTCAGCCGCTCTTCGATCTGATGCGGGTCGCACAGCAGGCGCTGATCGAGCTCGGCTCGTCGAGCCTTCCAGCGGCGCCTGGCGACACAAGACCGGCGTCTCAGGGCCAGGATCGCAAACTGGCACCGAGAGAAGGGCCAAGCATCGACACCGACGCCACTGCCTACTTTTTCGAAGAGGCGACGAGGCTGGGCATGCTGATCGCTGCAGGCTGCCAAGCGTCTACCCTGGGGTCCTCAGCCGAAGGCGGGCCAGTCTACGTCGAGGGACACCCGGCCAGGGCCATTGCGCTGGCCACGCTGGGCAAGCTGTCGCTGGTCGAGATTCAGCAGCAACCTGTGGCGGCGTCGTCAGCCCAGCCCTCGTCGACCTCGCCGTCGGCGGCCCAGCGGCTCGTCAGCCGGCCCTCGTCGATTCCGTCGATCCTGCGGCAGCCACCGGTCATTCCGACGGATGCCAGGCTCGCGTTCGCCAAGCAGGTTCTGGTGCAGGCGCTGCGGGAGCTCGAGATTGGCTTTGGCCGACGCAACGAAGGCGGCGAGGCGGGACGGTCGGTGAAGCGGACGCTCGAGGAGCTCGAGAGGGAGAGCGCCATCGTGACCCAGGCGCTAAGGGAGGGTGGCCAAGGCAGCATCGCAGCGTGAAGATTCTCGTCGAAGCAGCAGCGCGGATGCAAATGTGATCGTGTCGATAATTGTCGAGGAGCCACCGCCGCCTTGTCGATCGTCTCTCTTTCACCGGCGTGCGAAAAGTCGCCACACCTGCGAACAAAGCGAGTGCGATGTCTGTCAAGTGCGAAGACCTCGTGGGCATCGAGGCCGGCGAGGTGGCGCTCGCTGAGTACGAGCTGAGAAACGAGGTTGGAAGCAAGGCGCAGCCAGCAAAGAGAGGAGGCCTAGGACCCTGAAGTCTGAAGTGCGGGCCAGCCTGCCAGGCCTCTGTGACTTTGCGCGCGTCGCGTCCTGGGCCAGCGCGCCCCCTCGCTTGGGCCAGCGGAAGGAGAGCAGCCGGCGGGGCGGGCCAGGGCTGGCCAGGGCTGCCAGAGGTGGCTAGGCTGGTCGAGCGCGCCTCGTCCGTTTTCACCATCCGCATCACCACCTTTCATTCGTTGACGCCCTCCTCCTGCCCCTGCACGTCTCCTCCTCTCTTCGCTCGCCACCCTGCCTACTACACCGCCTCGCTCCTGTTCCGGTCCCCATCTCGACCCTGCCTCGCTCGCTGTGGCACAACGGAGAGCGGCCCTACGACCAAGCCTCGGGCTCGCATCAGCAGAGCGGCGACATCCAACAGGGAAGACGCCTCCGCACCCCTCGGACACGGACTGATCAGCCTCATCAGCCGCAGCAGTAGTAGCTTCAGCGACTCTCGTCCATCTCTGTCCCTTTGTGGCTCTGGAAGAGGCCTGCTGAGCCGCACCGCGCTGGTTGCAGCGCACGCTGCACGCCACCGCTGCCGCTGCCCTCCCCGTCCCGGTACCCGGACCACCCACACCCACAGCACGGCGCAACAACACGCCCGACCGCCCTGACACCATGGCGACCCAGACCCAGACCCGCTCCGAGAGCCTGGTCAAGCTCTCGAACCGGGGCAAGCTCTACCAAAAGGGCGGATCCACAGATACCCTGCTCAAGCGCCTCAAGGCCGTGCGCGCCGAGCTGAGCGAAATGGACCAGGACTACTGCGACGTCCGCTCGCTCGACGAGGTCCGCAAGGAGCTCGTCAGCACCGCCCTCATGCTTCACAAGGACAAGGCCGTCAAGGCCTACGTGGCGTGCTGCCTCGCAGACATGCTCCGCCTCTACGCTCCGAACGCCCCCTACACCCAGACTGAGCTCAGAGTGAGTTGCCGCCGTCGAGCGAGCCGCCAGAGGCGGAGCGGAACCTCGTCCGCGCTCCCGTTCCAGCTACTGACTGCCCCTTCCGCCCCTGCCCGTACCTATCACTGCGCCTCGCCACCTCTTGCCGTCTGCAGGACATCTTTCAGTTCTTCATCCACCAGCTCACCGCGGGCCTCGCCAAGCCGTCGTCGCCGCAGTACTCGGAGCACTTCTACCTGCTCGAGAGCCTGAGCCACATCAAGAGCGTCGTGCTGGTGTGCGACCTCAGCAACGCCGATGAGCTCATGACCGAGTACTTCAAGGGCTTCTTTGACCAGGCGCGTCCCGACCTCTCCAAGAACGTCGAGCTGTGCATGATCGACGTGCTGGTGGCGCTCATCGACGAGTGCCAGACGCTGCCGACCGAGGTGCTCGAGCTGCTGCTGGCCAACTTTGGCACAAAGGCCGTCAAGCACAATGCCGCCGCCCATCGCATGGCCGTCGAGGTATGCTCGGCCACCCGCGACAAGCTGCAAAAGTACATTGCGCAGGTGAGCAGACCCGGTCGACTCGCCGCCCCACATGTTGGCGTCAAGCGGCGCGCGCGGAATCTCGACTGACACCCGCGATGCCTCCGCCCTTTTTGGGTCCTGATCCTCGCCACAGTACTTCACCGAGGTGATTGTGTCGGCGTCGCGCGAAGACGACCAGGACGAGCGGATGGAGGCGCTGCAGACGGCGCACTCGCTCATCATGCAGATCAACCGCTCGGTGCCCACGCTGCTGCTCAACGTGATCCCGCAGCTCGAGGAGGAGCTCAAGGCCGAAGACGCGCAGCTGCGCATCCTCGCCACGAAGGTGCTCGGCCAGATGTTTGCGGAGCGGCCCTCGTCGACGGGCGCCGGCGGTGACCTGGCGCAGAAGTACTCGGCCACCTGGAAGGCATGGCTCGGGCGTGCAAACGACAAGAGCGCCACGCTGCGCACCGTGTGGGTCGAGGCGACCCGCAACCTGCTCATCAACCACCCGGAGCTGCGCGGCGACCTGACGCCCATCCTCGAGCAGAAGCTGCTGGAGCCCGACGAGCGGGTGCGTGCCGCCATGGCCAAGACGCTGGGCAGCCTCGACTACGAGACGGCGCTCCACCACGTCGACAAGCGCGTGCTGATCAAGCTCGTCGACCGCTGCAAGGACAAGAAGGCCAACGTCCGCCGAGCTGCGATGGAGGCGTCGGGCAAGATGTTTGACATGGCCTTTTCCGAGATCGAGAGCCACGACCCGGCCGCCACGCGGCAGTTTGCGTGGATCGCTTCCGAGATCCTCAAGTGCGTCTACGCCGGCGGCTCTGACATGCTGCAGGCGGCGGCCGCTGCCGTCGAGCAGCACATCCTGCCGCTCCAGGCCAACGGCAGCGCCGACGACGACGAGGCGGCCTGGGCCAACCGGCTGCTGCTGGTCATGAAGTTCCTCGACCCGGAGGCGATCAAGGCGCTCTTCCGGCTGACCAACCTCATCTACCAGCGACCCAGCGTCTTTGACCAGTTCGTAGCGTGCTGCGAGGCCTACAACGGCGGCGAGGTCGACAAGGACAGGGATGTGGCGGCGGTCAAGGCGGCCATGGCCGACAGCATCCGGCGCTGCGCCACCCAGTTCGGCGACCCGCAGCGGGCCCAGTCGGACCTGCACGCCTTTGCCAAGCTCAACGATGCGCGCATCTACCGGCTGCTCAAGACGTGCTTCGACCCGCAGCAGGAGCTCAAGGCGCTGGTTAAGGCGCGCGCCGATGCGCTGCGGCGCGTCGAGAACGCCAATGCGGCCATCCTCGACACCATGACCGTCTTTGTGCGCAGCGGCTCGTTTTTCCTCGTCAACCGCTCGACGATCCCGACGCTGGTCAAGCGGCTGCAGCAGAGCAAGCACGACTTTACGCCGAGCCAGGTCTTCCGCGAGTCGCAGTCGCAGTCGCAGCCGCTGGCGGGCCTCGACGAGACCGAGTCGCAGGCGCGCGTGCTAGCGAGGAGCATGGCCCAACTGCCCGACATGGAGGCGTTTCAGTCTTGCTCCAACGAGGTGCTCGAGTTTGTCGCCAAGCACTGCCCGCAGATGTTTGCGGCCCACGTGCCCGAGCTGTGCCGGTCGCTGCACGATGAGGGCAACCGCATTCTCGTCCAGACCAGCCTCCAGGCGTTGGCGGCCGTGGCGCGCTGGAACGTCGACAAGGTGCAGCTCGACAGGAAGGCCATCGACCGGGCGGCGCGCTACGTGCAGCGCGGCACGCCGCTCCAGGCCAAGTTTGCGGCCAAGCTGCTGGCAATCGTCGGGTATGCCGGCATCGCCAAGGCGGCCAAGGACAGCAAGGGCAAGGGCGGCGGTGGCGGTGGACCACGGTCGGGCGCGAGCGGCTCCCAGAACCACGGCGGCGGCGGCGGCGGCAACTCGGCCTCGGTGGCCTACCAGGTGGTTGAGGAGGTGCTCGAGACGCTGGCGCGCGACCTGGCCAAGACGTCGGGGGAACGCCAGGTGGCCAGCCTGCACGCGCTGGCGCAGATGTTCAAGCACGCGCCCGACGCCACCGAAAACGTGTCCGACACCGTCGTCAAGACGCTGCTCGCCAACATCCTCTCGAAGCCGAGCTCTGCCAAGGCCGACGACTTTGCCGAGGCCGAGGACTGGATCGACGACGACAAGGTGGAGCCGGAGCTGCAGGCCAAGCTGCTGTCGCTCGTGGTGCTGACGAAGCGGTGCGCCGCCTTTGCCGAGACGCCCAACGCCGGCGACGTGGCTAAGCCCGTCTTCCGGCTGCTGTGGACCGTCATCGTCCAAGGCGAGGCCAAGGCGCTGGCGACGCCGGCGCCGCACCGGTCGCGGATGCGGCTGCAGGCGGCCGTGTGCGTGCTCAAGCTGGCGCGCCACACCGTGTTTGACCAGATGATTGGGCGCGAGTACTTCCACCTGGCCTTTACGGTGCAGGACGAGTGCTTCAACGTGCGCAGCAAGGTGCTCCACAAGCTCCTCACCTACCTCTCGCGGCGGCGCATCGACCCGCGCTTCCTGGCCATGGCCTTCCTGGCCGCCTTTGACCCCGAGGACGAGAACCGCAACATGGTGATGCGCTACTGCGCCACGACGTCGCGCTCGCTGCCGCCCGAGCTGCGGCTCAAGCTGCTCGACGTGTCGTTCCCGCGCTTCATCCACCTGCTGGCCAACCACCCAGACTTTTCGCGCGACTCGACCGAGGAGCTGCTCCAGTTTGTGCGCTACCTCGACTTTTTCTGCGACTGCCTCGCCACGGCGCAGAACGTCAGCCTCTTTTTCTACCTGGCCAACCGCGTCAAGCAGGTGCGCGACGCCGAGAGCCAGGGCGCCAGCGAGAATCTGTACACGCTCAGCGAGATGGCGCAGCTCGTCATCAAGCGCCGCGTCGAGGCCAACGGCTGGACAAACGAGACGTACCCGGGCAAGATTACGCTGCCCGCCGACATCTTCAAGCCGCTGCCCAGCCTCGAGGTGCAGAGGGAGGTGAGTCGGACTACGAGTGCTGGGGAACCCCCAGCCAAAGATTGCAAGCTCGGCGCCCAGCGAGCTTCGTGAAGCTGACATCGCCCGACCTCTTGTTCTGCTTTCCTCTTGTTTTTCCCCCTTGCCCCTGCGCAGATCTCGCATCGGCAGTACCTCCCCGCCGACCTGGTGCAGACGCTGTCCGAGGTCAAGGTAAAGGTGAGTCCTCGGCCCGGCACCACCTTGCGCCTTGATCCCTCGATCGCCGCCCGAGACTCTGGTTGGCTGACAATGCCGTCCTCGTTCTGTCCCTGCTGACGTCCGTAGAAACGTGGCCCGACGCCGAGGAAGCGCAAGGCGGCGTCGCCGAAACCGCGCGCGGCCAAGACGACGCCACGGAAGCGCAAGACGGCGGCGGGAAAGAAAAAGAAGGCGGCCAAGCGCGGAGGGTACGACTCTGACGAGAACGCGTCGCACTCTGAGTCGGAGGACGACGACGAGGAGGACGAGGACGAGGATGAGGAGATGGACGACGACGACGGCGCTGCCAAGGGCGGTGCGAGTGGGGACGAGAGCAGCGAGTTGAGCGACCTTGAAGACTGAGCACATCCGCAAGCCAAGGGGCTGGCCAAGCAGGCGAGCAAGGGGAAGAGGGGGGAGGGAGGGAGGTGGAGTCTGGATGGAAAGACCACTCACCCGCCGCTGTACTTTTACGATATGAATTCTCGATTCTCGACGCCCGTCCCTGCGCCGAGGTCGATTGCTTGATCCCGCTGTCAGCCAGGACCAGGACCGGGCCACCAGGATGGGAGCGTCGGCGAGTGGACGGGGCTGAGGGCGCATTTGCCTTGCTTGTTCCTCTCTCGAGACATGGCCGCGAACCTCTCAGGTCTCTTCGAGCTGGGCGCACAGGACGGCCTCGTCATGCACGCCTAGGGCAGCAAGGAGCTCGGGGCGCTCGCCGTGCCGCATACGGAGGACGCACGAGGAGCCTGCAAACGTCGACTTGCCCTCTGTGCCGGTGCGGTTGGCCGCGACGAGGAAGGTGGTGTTGTCGGTGGTCAAGGGACGCGGTGGGGCCTCCGCTCCGTCGGCGGTGGCCTGCGCCGCACCCGCTTCTGGATCGAAGAGCGGAGCGCACCGCAGGGCCCAGTACTGGATGCTGCTCGTACTGGGTCCGCGGTCCTTTCGCTGCTGCTCAAAGAGCGAGCTGTCCGAGGCGGGCAGGAGCCAGGCCATGGGCACGACGATGAGGTCGACGCGCTCGCGGCGGCAGAAGCTGGCCAGCTCGTAGGCCTCGAATGGGGCGCGGAAGTCGTGCGGGTTGAGGTCCATGCAGATGGCGACGCACACCCTGCCGATGCGCGGCAGCTCGACGGTCTGAAACCCGGAACCCTCGGTGGCCCAGCGCTTGTCGTCGTCGTAGAGAAAGTGCTTGCGGAACGTGTGCACTACCTGCCCGCATGGGTTGACGAGGAGAGCCGAGTTGTAGGCGTGCCCTGTCCCGTTGGGTGGGCAATGGGCCCGGGTGCCCGTGGATCGAGCGTCGAATGCCGCCGCCGCAGCCGCCGCTGCCGCTGCAGAGGTTGTGTCCTGCGCCGGGTCGATGGGCGGCCCGCGCTCGGCGAACCCGGCGAGAACATGGCACTGGAACCGCTTGGCGAGGCTGCTGACGAGGCTGAGGGTGGGACCGGCGGTGGATTCGCAGCCTGCCTCGTCGCTGGGTGGTATAGCCTCGAGGAGCGGCTCGATTTCGTCGTGAGAGTCGAAGCAGTATCCGGTCAGGGCGAGTTCCGGAAGGACGAGGAGGTCGATCTGCCGTCGAGGACCCTGCTGGTCGCTGTCCAGACCGTCGACGAGGCGCCTGACGGTTGCGATGTTGGCGTCGATGTCGGCGTGCTTCGAGTCTAGCTGGACGCAGGCGACGACCGGTGGCGACGGCGTGGCCTTGTTGCCGTCAGCGCATTCGGCCCGTGTCATGGCGTGACGGCGACACGAGGGGATCGCTGGCTCGCGGGGCAAGACGCCGGCGCGGTGTGGGCTGTGACGACGGAGGAAGACGGGCGGTGGGTAGGACAGCAGCGGGGAGCGGGCAGCGGTGGCCGCCCTAATCGTCGGGCGGCAAACGAGGAGCGACACGATGATGAGCGGGCGGCGTGCGAGCCAGCACCTGCGCCTGCCGGTCTATGGGAGCTGTGAAGCTGGCGTTGCTGGAGGAATGAGGTGTTGGTCGAGGTGGTCAAGAGGCTGGAAAGAATCAAGGAAGGCGCCGAGGAGTGTTGGTCTGGGCCGCCGGTTGGTTGGCCTGTGCGCGCGCCCGCCTCGCCGCTTGGAGCGGGCCTGGGCCATGCATTACAAATGGCCCGCGTCCACGGCAGCTTGCGGCGCGGCACACTCTTTTTCTTTTGTATTGGCGCAGCCCGACTGGCACTCTGGCAGGCCAGGCCAGGCCAGGCAGCCAATTCCAATTGCAAGCCGCCGCTGCCCGCCTGCTCGAGCCTCGCCCGCCCTCTTCGCCGCCCTCAATCTGATAACCGCCACCCTCGCTCCGGCTTCGACGTCGACATCCAGCACCATCGCCACCAACCATCCCGCTCAGCCACACCTAGCACCCCATTTCGGCCTCACCCTACACAGCGCCCCGTCCAACTCCCAGCTCGTCCGCCAGCCCACCATGGTCTCGTCGCAGCAACTCGAGTCGGCCATTCGGGAAAAGGTCGACAAGGTCTCGACGTTGGTGAGCACGCCAACCCCCGCCCCCCTCGTTCTCGCATGCCGTCGCACTCAGCGCGCTGATCGATCCTCCCTCTCCTTGCCTCGCCCCTCCGACGCCAACAGGTCGTCTCGGACGTCTCCGGCGGTTGCGGTCAGGTGGGCCACCCTCGCGATATGGGCAGCGACGGCGGCGCAAAGTAGCCTGACCCCTTATCGCCGTCTCGCTCTCGCTTTCTCCCTCCCTCCGACAGGCCTACGACGTCGTCATCGTCAGCGACGCATTTGAAGGGTGCGCATCAGCTCCCTTGCTCCTCGTATCGACGTCGCCCAAACGGTCCTGACCTCTCTCTGACCTCCCTGGCTCCCCTTGGCTCCGATTTGCTACCTATAGCCTGCCCACCATCAAGAGACATCGCATGGGTGAGGCAGCAGGACAGAGGCACTTCCTCCTGCGCCCCACATCTGGCTCCATCGACTCACACCCAGCTGACCCCCTGCTCGCCATCGCCCCTTGCTCGCCATCGCCCCTTGCTCGCCATCGCCCCCTACTCTGCCCGTTTGGACCCCTGCGTAGTCAACGCGCTCCTCAAGGACGAGATCGCCCAGCTCCACGCCTTTTCCCAAAAGACTTACACCGTAAAGCAGTACGAGGTGAGTCCGACGCCGCAGCTACAATCTCGCACGTCGCCCGTGCAAAGACAGCTGATCCGCTCTCAACCACCACCACCTCGCCTACCGCGCCTGCAGTCCCTGAGCAACCAATCGCCATCGACGGATAGCAAGCCAGCAGAGGCGGCAGCAGCAGCAGCGGCGGCGCCATCTTCATCGTCATCGGATCTGCAGGCGCCGGCACCCATCCTGACGACGGGCTCGGGCAGCCGCGCGTCGCACAACCGCACCGCCTCGGGCGTCTCGATACCCGAACTCACCCTGACCACCGACGACGACAGCCTGTCGGGCATGGCGGCAAAGAATGCCGGAAAGCCACTCACCCCGGGTGCCCAGCCCGGCGGCACGACCCAGTACCCGGGCACCGCCGTGCCCCCGCCCCTCAGCCCTTCGATTTCCCGGCTGCACGAGAACCGCATCCGATCGTACGTCTCTCGAGCCAGCCGCTCGCTTCTCGCAACTTGGCGGGCGACCCATCCATTTGGCAGAACAGAGAAAGACTGACGCGTGCGATCATCTCCCTTCTATCCGTGCGCCACGCCCGCCAATCAACCCAGCACCGAATTCTGGACGGGCCTCCGATCCTACCTGGAGCTGCAGTTCTCTGTCCCCTCGGCGGCCGAAGCAGGAGCCGCCAGCCCGGGTCCGCACGGCCGAACGCCCGGCGATGCAGAGGTGGAGCGCATCTTTGAAGACTTTTTCCTCTCGCAAAAGCACCACCTCTCGGCCAACGACATTGCCCGCGTCCGAGACGCCACCGGCATGTTTGGCATGGCTGGCGTCTGAGCCCCCCACCGTCGTCGCAAGCGCCTCGCCGCCTCGCCCCGTCAAGACGGAGGGGTACTTGTTCTCGTTCTCGTCTCGCCCGCCTCGCTGGCTGTCATCACCGTCCTTCTCACTCACGTCTCGTTGTCATCCAAAATGGGTATCTGGGTTCTCGTCGGTGCCGTCTCACCTCCTCCTCCCAGGTGCAGCGGGCGGGCGTGCGCTCGCGCATCATCTTCGTCCACGTTGGGCAGTCGGCTCCAAGGTGCGTGGCTGGCCGGCTGACTCGCCAACAGCACCTGTTCCTAATCTCGCCGTCGGCAGGCGGGCCAGGTGTATGGAGCGACGAGAGGCCGCCGCCGCCGCCGTCGTCGTCGTCGACTTGGGTGGCTGCGGTGATGGGGTAGAATACAAGGGGTGATGAGAGGGCATGGGGGAGGAAAAAAGTACAATGGGGGATCACATTTCGTCGATCGATCCGATGCCGATCGGCTCGGAACGGCCCGGCTCGGATCGAGTCTGGACCAGGGGATCCAGGGAGATCCGTCGGCTTCCTCCGCGTCGTCGTCGTCCAGCTCCGCTCCGTTTGGGTCGGATCCTCTGACCTACTCGCGCCCCCCGCGATCTGCTCGGGGATCGTCGAGGCGGTACGGATCGGGCAAGAGACCCGGGTAGCGCTCGAGGCAGCACCACCGCAGCACCGTATTGACCGTCTCGACCTGGATGCGGTCCCAATTGGCCTGGCGCTGCGGGTGCACCAGGAGCGGCACCTTTGTCCGGTCCACGATGGTGGTAGCCTGCGCCGGTGCGGCCGGAGGCGGTATGGCCGTGATCGCTCTGGTAGTCGCACCCGTGGTACCGCCGCCGCCGTTGCTGCTGCTGGTGCTGGCGGTCCTCGAAGTGGTTTGTTCGCCTGCCCTCGACGACGAGGCTCGTTCTGCAGCCGCCGCCGCCGTCGCTGCCTTGTGCTGCGTCTGCCGGTAGAGATCGAGGAACTGGACCACATCCTCGTCGAGTTCCATCCGATGCGCGTCAAGACAGGCAAAGCAGCCCACGGCCTTCTTGTACGGCGGCGCCGGACCACGATCGTCGCTGTCGCTGTCGTCGTCACCGTCGTCTGCCGCGACCATACCATCGGGACGGCGAGGAGCGGCGTTGGGCCCGATTTCGCCGTCCGCGTCGCGGCCGCCGCCGCCGCCGCTGGGCCGCAAGACAAAGTCATGCTCGCCCAGCCGAAAAACGCGCACCACGCCCATCTGCCCCTCCTTGCCGCACGCCAGGCACGTCAGGCCGTCCATGCGTTCGGCCTTGAGCATGCACAGGCCGTCGATGGCCGCCAGCCACTCGCGGATGGCGCCCGAGACGATGAGCTCGCGCTTGGCGCGCGTGATGGCGACGTACATCAGGTTGACCTCGTCCTGCAGCCAGAGCGAGTCGACCTGCAGCCGCCCTTTGCCCGCCAGGTACGAAGGCCGGAAGTCGTCGGCCACCACGACGCGGTCCCACTCGAGGCCCTTGGACTGGTGGCACGTCGTCAGCACGATGCTGGCGTCCTTTTCCGTGGCGCTGAAGCGCGACTTGAGCGAGTCGAGGCGGTCGAGGAAGTCGTCGCACCGGAAGAGGTCCTCGAGCGACGCCACCAGCGCCAGCATCCCGTCGCCGCCCTGGTCCTCGGCCTCGACGCGCTGCACCAGCTCCTTCCAGCCGGAAAACTCGCGCAGGATCGAGCCAGACGACATCGGACCGCCGCGGCCGTTGTAGAGGATGTAGCCATCGCGCAGAAGCGCCACGACCGACGACTGGCTGAGCTTCTGGCTCGTCTTGAGGTAGATCCGGTGCGGCTCCTCGAGCAGCACGCCGTACACGAGCGCCGTCTCGACGAGGCATTTGTTGCTGCGGAAGATCTTGGTGTGGCGAAGCACCTGTTGCGGCGCCCTGGTCGCTTGCGCCTGGCCCGACATCCCTGCTGCTGCTGCTGCCGCCGCCGCCGCTGCTTGCCCATGGAGAGGCTGTGTGG